GGGAAGCATGTCGTGATGGTGACCCTCCGCCCAGAGGACACTGAGCGACCCTCCCCCCCTGCCTCGGAGATGCAGGAGAGGCTGAGGGACAGATCCCACCCGTGTCCCTAAAGGAGAACCTCTGTCCCCGCGCCCCGCAGCCCCCCAGGGCATTACCTGGAGTGCAGGACGGGGATGGAGCACTTGGTGAGGATGCTGCCGATGATGACGGCCTCCCGCAGCGTGCAGGTCCCCGACTCGCACAGGGGGATGAGGATCCCTGCGGAGAGGGGGAAGAGTCAGGTCCTGCCCATCTCGATGGCAGAAGGCTGAGCCCCGTCACTCAGCACCTTCTCCAGTCCCAGGACACATCTGACCCCCAGTAGCTGCCGTTACAGGGGGTTGCAGCATCTCCCTGATGTACAACTAGCCCCCAAACCACCTCAGGTTGCCCAACATGACCGAGACCAGCCCGGGACAGCACGTAAGCTGCCATCAACCATCGAGAGAACCCAAATACCTGCAGAAGCCAACAGCACTCATCACCCTGCACGCCACCAAGGGGCCCCTGGGGGTGTGGAAGCCACCTCATCCACCGAGGGGGACTCCCTGCATCTCTCGGTGTCTTCTCCTCCCACTAAGCCCCCAGAGCCACGCCACGCAGGGGACAATGTCCTGTCCCACTGAGCAGTGGCGTGCGAACACGTGTCCCTGCTGAGCTTCCCGGGTGGGGAGAGGCTCCCAGGCAGGAACGGGAGCCTGGAGGGAGTCCTCACCTTTGAACCAGGCTGCTGGTTTGAACAGAGCCTTCTTCAAAGCCATGTAGAGGTGAAAATTGAGGCGCTTGTACTCGGCGATGTCATCCCTGACCCGCGGCAGCAGCACCAGGTTGTAGAACCGCTGGGCCATCCTCTCTTTCAGGTTGGATGAAAATATCCTGGGAAAAGCAAAGCACCAAGTGAGGTCTGGAGAAAGGAGGCCAAGCGGAGGACAGGCTGGGACCCTGTAAATCTGGTAAAAGTGGAAAGAAAAAGCAAGAAATCCCCCGTCAGCAGCTCCCCGAGATGATCTTACCTGGTGGCTTGATACATGGCAGCTGCTGTCCACGCCTCTGGCTCTGTGATGTAGAGGATCTGCTCCCAGTTGGACAAGGCAGGAATGATTTTAAACGCCTTGGGGAGTTTCCCACTCCTGTATTTGGACAGCACCTTTAAAGACAGGGACACAGGCCAGGCCATGACACGCTGTGGGACTTGTCTCATGATCATGAGAACATTGTCCCCTCCCTTAACATCTCTGGTCAGAAAGGACCATCCCAGGACCACCCCGAGCACGGTGCTCAGGAGATTGTCACTCAGAAGCGTTTTGGGCCGTTTGGTGACTGACACCACACAAACCACAGCCAATCCATAAAGGGACGTTGGGGACAGCCTCGAGAGCAGGCACGGAGCAGGGGGGCTGCGGGGCTCAGCGCTGTGTCGGCTGGGTGCCGGGGGCAGAGCTGCTTTGGCCTCACCTCTCTGACACCCCTGTAGACCTCCAGGACGCGGGGGTCGAGCTGGGGCATGGGACAGCCCGATATCTCCGACAGCACCGTCTCCACCTCCGTCTGCTTCTCCGTGATCTTCTCCATGATGATGTCGGCCAGCGTGCGCCTGGGGCCGGGGCAGAGGGACACGAGTCAGGGGTTGTGTCGGGAAGAAGCAGCAG